ATTCTGCTACCGCTGATGGTACTGCTGATCTACTCAGATCACAGGACGCAGACGAGCCGGCGGTGTTAGGATGTAGACTGAAAGTTTTTCTTACACAGACCAGAGCGCCAAATTGAACCAAACGGTATGTTTTTCCATCGCTGTTGGGGTCTGTTGCTGAGATAATTTTATGGGTCAGTTGCAGTTGAAGCCGCAGCCTCGCTATGGCCCAAGCCCTTGTATGATCTTGTATGACCCGGGTCGTATGAGCCTGAGAGCCCCTGGGCTGGGCCTGGGCCTTGGGCCCCGGCTTGGCGCTGAGCCGAGGCCCAAGATCCAGGCCCAGCCCAAGGCCTTTCAGGTCCGTAAGGCCCAAGGCCCAAAGCCTAAGGCTCAGGCGAAGGCCAAGGCCCGGTTCTGCCCTATAGACCTGGTCTCAAGTCCAATCTCAAATCCTATACGACGAAATTCTAAATCCAGGCCCAGGTTTTCAGTGAATAATGCCCTGCCTTCCATGCCCAGCCCAGATCTATGGGCCAAGCCCTAGGCCCAGGGCCCAGGCCCAGATCAGACCTAACCCCAATTGCCCAGACCCAAGACCAAGGCCCTGACACTGATCCGGTCCCAAGCATATCCTCAAGCCTTTCCTACCCAGCCCAGATCTAGGCCCAAGCCCAGGCCCAAGTCAAGCCTATCCCAATTATTTATCTTGCCCTCTTTGGATCTGAGGAAGGCAAGACGAATAATTGCGATTAGGTCTGACCTGGATCTGGGCCTGGGCCTGGTGCTGGACCTAGGGCATGGCCCATAGATACGGATTGGGCAGGGAAATAGAGGAATATTGGGCCTAAGTCCGGATCTAGATTTGACTAATTAGATATTAGAAAAGCTGCAAGCATCCAAAGCCATATATATATATATATTCTTTCCTAGAAATAGAAGGAAAATTAGACTTCTTATTCGATATCATCAGATATAAACGAATAATTTCTATTCAGAATATTTGAATCTACGGAATTATGAAATTCAACGAGTGCCATCTATAGAGAAATTACCTATAATTACTTTGTATCGATATTACAAATAACGAGTCTACTCTAATATTTAATAGAAAATCTCAATTATAGAATTCTTTTTAAATTTCTTTCGAAAATTCCGAGAATCTTTTTATTTTATTAAAATCTTAGATAAATATTAATTTTCGAGAAGAAATAAAAATAAATATTTTTTTTATCTTATATCATAAAATATAAAGACAAATTATAAATATATATATATATAATAAGAACCTTAGTATTTATATTTAATATCTAATATTTATAATCTATTTTTAAATATCTTTATAATATATAAGAATTAATATTTTTCTATATCTAAGAATATAATCATATCCTAAAAGAATAACAAGAAAATTATCAGACTAAATGAAATCGTATTATATCTAGAATAACCTTTTATTTTGATTCGGAAAATATTGGATCTTCGAATGGGAGGTTGATTATCTATTTATAAAGATTTTTTATTTATCATATGAAGACAACTAATTTTCGTATTTAGACCTAGCAATGAGGATCTGTGGCTAAATGCTCAAGCTAGCAACTTTTTTCGTCAGGGCATGTTGTAATCGCGATGTGCATTAGCCTGGTGTCTGAAAAGCGAACGGGCAACTTGACTTCAATGCATCCTTTGTGCATCTGAGTCTCAGAATCAGCAGGGACCCATCTCAAGCTTCGCTCAACTTTCAAAATATGCCTTAAGCTCCTGCATGCGTGGATCACTGTTCTGGTCAATATTTTCAATCACCCATTTCGCGAAACCGGGTTTCTGATAAGCTTCAGCAAATGTGCAGCCCCTGTGCTTCGAGCATCGAAGTATTGTCTTGCTGGCATCCTGCATGTCTGCACGATCGTTGACAGTAGGAACAGTAGCCCGCTCGTTGACAGTGGGAACAGTAGCCCGGGGATACGAATCTTGTGGTTGATGAGCACATGCGCGGCAAGCGGCAAAGTATGCTTTAAGCTCCTGCATGCGTGCATCGCTGCTGTCGTCAATATTTTCAATCACCCATTTCGCGAAACCGGGTTTCTGATAAGCTTCAGCAAATGTGCAGCCCCTGTGCTTCGAGCATCGAAGTATTGTCTTGCCGGCATCCTGCAGATCAGCGCGCTCGCTGACTGCGGGAATGCTGGTTTGGCAAGCTGCCCCTGCCGCGCAGCCTTGTTCAGTGGTGCATTGTTGCTCGTGCTGCAAGACAACGTTGAGGCCTCTCGAGCGGGGGTTGAACCTCTGCAGAAAATATGGCAGGGCTGGCTCCTTGCGGTCTTGGCGCTGAACGAAGCCCAGGTAGAGGTTAGGCACACGCACCGATACCTCGATCTTCTGGTTCATTTCCTTTTGCGCTTCCTTCAAGCACCATAACCTCTTGTTCCCCTCGATCACATAGAGATGCCCGTGAAACTTGAGAGCAGTCAGCTCCAAGTCGCTTGCAGGCCCTTCCCTCAGCAGTTTCTGAACCAAGTCTTGGAGCTTCATGCCCGCGTGCGGCCCGTGGTCAAAGACGTCAGAAATGGAGTCTTTGCAGTACCGGAGATCACAGATGTCAACCTTGATAAGCTCACCACGTCCTGAAACGTCTTTTACTGCTGCGACTGTCTCCGAGAAGCTGCCGTGAGTCGTAAGACTTGCCAGGAGCATCTCTCTATCCCGGGAGCATTCCTTGCACTTCATGTCGAATTTCAAACCATCAAGGGCCTCCCCCACCTTGTCCTGGAGCTCTTTGGCCGCACTCCTTTGCAGCTTCCGAAAGAGCCGGTGGTTTCGCTGAAGCTCGCTCATCGGGCACGGCTGGTAGTGGTCCTTGAGTGCAGTCAACTCCTGCTTGAACAATGTCCATGGGAAGCTCGGGTTCGGATCTCTTTCCTGTGAAGAGACATTCTCATCAACATACTTCAGATGCCATCCTGCCACGGCAACCTGCGTCAGGAACGTCAAGCCAATCTCCTTCTGGCTGGTCAACTCCTCGGCCCTTTCCGCGGTCCGGCTGCGGAGTTCCCAAATCCACTCTTCCTTGAGTACCATCTCACCAGAAGAATAAGGATGTTTGTCCCGTGCCACACGCTCCGCCGCGTCGCACTCGGCCCGAACTCTTTCGAGGAACTCCTTGCGCACATTCTTTGCCAAAGCCTGGCGGGGCTACAATAAGACTGGCAGCCTGCTCAGCTGGGTGTCGGGAACCGCTTCTGTTCAGAGGCCGTGGCTGTGAACAACGAATGAATCGCGAAGTAGTGAGAGGAACAGTCTGATAGCAGGTTTGCAGCTTTTCAGTCTGTGCGCCCTGCTTCAGATTGGCTGCAGTGCGTTTTCATTTGTGTTTCCGAAACTTCGTTGAGATTGCCACCCACCAGTATTACAGGAAGGAGGCTCTTCTAGACTTAGAGACGTTTGTCGCCTGCATGGCACACTTGGAGGAAAAGCAAGATGGGGGCCTGTAGCTGCACTGATTGATCGGCCGCAGCCAGACTCTGCAGGGGTATTGCTGCTTGCGCGACATGTTGCCTCAGCAGGCAAAGGGCAGCAAGAGGCAGAGCAAAGAGGGAAAGCGGCAGAGAAAGGGGTCTCTGTCGTGCAAGAAAGACTGCAGATTGATAGATGTAATTATATATGTGTATACTGTATACATGTGTTTATATATCTACACACACATATATATATATACACACATCACATAGCGACATAGGTATACACACATACACACAACCAACCAACCAACCAACCAACCAACCACCCACCCAACCAACCAACCCACCCACCCACCAACCAACCCACCCACCAACCAACCAACCAACCAACCAACCAACCAACCAACGAACGAACCAACCAACCAACCAACCAACCAACCAACCAACCAACCAACCAACCAACCCACCAACCCACCAACCCACCAACCCACCAACCAACCAACCAACCAACCAACCAACCAACCCACCGACCGACCGACCGACCGACCGACCGACCGACCAACCAACCAACCAACCAACCAACCAACCAACCAACCAACCAACCACCAACCAAGCAAGCAAGCATGCAAACAAACAAAGACACAAACAAACAAAACAAAGAAACTAACAAACACAACAAAGAAACAAACAAACACACACACACATGTGTGTTTGTGTGTTGCACGCATATACATGAGCGTGCGTAGGAGCGTTCGAGCGTGCCCAACTGAGCTGGCTGGCTGTCTGTCCTTTGTGCTACAGATTTTGCCTCGGGCTATCACCTGTTTCTGTACATAGACAGGCTCGAGTGTCGAGTGGAATACAGTAGTAACAGAGTCGTCGTGTCAAGCGAGGGGTCACTGTGCCGGAGCATTTCTCGTCGGCCGGCTAATACACGTGGTGACATGTAACTGCCCCAACCAGTGGCTGCAAGTGCTTGCACGGAGACTGTGCTTGGATTCATGGTCTGACGGGAGCGGAGAAACCCTGTTAAAGCAACCGGTACCTTGATTCGCTGGCACAGCTCCTTCCCAAGCTCCTGCTCCATCAGCTGCCAAGCCTGGGCCAAAGAATTGGACAATTCTTCTGGCTGTGGGCAGAGCACACGTCCAGGATTGACACTATCTGGGTAGTTCTCTAAATTAGGGTCCCTTTTTGGGTGCCGTACTATATTATAGTACGGCACCCTTATAAAAGGACCCTAAAAGGGACCCTAATTTAGAGAACTACCCATCTGCAGACCTGCACCCTTTTCGAACTTATTCTTACCGGCCTTGTCAAGATCAGGATCCTTCCCAAGGCTTCGTGCTGGGTCCCTCACGGCTTCTTTGAATTCCTGTTCGGCTCTGCTTGCAGCACGAAAGCACTTGCCAGCGGCTGTTGGGGAGGGATTGTGCGGGTCTCCATCATTCATGAAGTCCCACTTCGTGGCTTTTCCGAACCGATTTTGCTTGGGGCATCGCTTGCCCTTTTCCACATCCAGCGACTTTGCATATGCTGCGGCCACCGTCCGAGCCTCTGTGCAGCACGCTGCTTGGGGACCTCGTCCTGCGATCAGCTGCCACTGGTAATGCAGAAGGCCCATGCGATCCTTCTGAAGGTACTCGGACAGAAAGTGTGCATTCACGTCCGCCCAGGTGTCCACAGGCGTTTCGTTGAGATCCCCATGTTCGTACTCAGGCTCAGGCATTGGCAATGTGCTGCCTGAGAAAGAGTTCACGACCTCTTCGTCTGTGATGATCTGGAAATAGTCACCGTCGAAGTCCCACGAGAGATTCTTTTGGAGTGGACATCCCACCCTGGAGAAAAAGAGAACACCGGGCTCACACTTGGCACGCAAAGCTGGTGAGTCCTTTGCCACAGCCAACCTCAGTGCGTAGGGATCTCGGTCCGACAAGTAGTTGACAATCACCTTGCCGGTCAATGCCTTCCAACCAGTCTCCTGGGCACCCAGAGAGGTTCAGACATCGTGATGTATAGGGCAAGCCGGGTCTACGCGGCACTTTGTATGCGGGCTTGGTGCTGAAGCACAACACAAAAATGCGCAAGCTTGAGAAAGCACCAACAGTAGCAAGTTCCAGCGGCATCGGGCGCGCTTGAAGCATCAACATGTCAACACAAAGCTGGCCCGTCCTCGACGTCACAGGGTACCATCAAGAAGACTTCATTGTCTCTTAGCAGTGGGTTCTCGTCCTCGGCACGAGATTCTCGAGGCTCAGGGTGACCACGGGCAGACCAGCAACCTCGAACACGCACTTGCCTTTTGGCTCTTCTCAAAGCCGATTCTTTCTGGCGCAGAATAACCTCCAACAACGGGTGCTGATTTGGGTCATAGCCAGCAATCAACATATCCAGGAATGTTCCGATGTAGTGCTTGCTTGTGAGCTCTGCAGAGTGTTCGTCCTCTGCCTCCAACTCTGGGTCGTGCTCATACTCTGCAAAATAGAGCTGACCGAATACGTCTTCCCGCCTCATTCCACCGATCTTTTTCAGACATTGCTGGTGCTGCCTCAGGAACGTATCAGCCTTGCATCCGCAAGCTTCCAGGCGAAGCACGGCATCCAAACCCAGAGATGTGGGTCGAACTCTGCTGAAGCTCACCACCGACAGTTGCTCGGCACCGAACGTCTTGGGCCCGAACTTCAACATGTTCCTGATAATGCTCGAAGAAGTCAAGTCACTTGTTTCGCCATGGCTTTCGTCAACTTGACTGAATGAAACCCTCGGTAATCAACTGAGGCCCAGATTCTCTGGAACTTCCACGCTGCCGGTCCCTGCAAGGCGCTTCGTGCCCAGCAGCATGCCCTTGAGACCTCAACGAAGAGGTCATCTTAAGTCAGACTCTATTCTGTTGCGTGGCCTTGCTGTGATCTTATGTTCTTCAACAATACGACATACTGCAGCTTGCACAACGTTGTACTTCAATCTGTTTGGCTCATCGTGCCTTGGAGCACAGTTATTGTGCAGAGAGCTGGTCTTGTAACTTCCAGTTTGCGCGTGACTGGACGATGTGGCATGCAACCGGGTGCCGAATTTTTCATCACACAGCACGAGCAGGTCAACCCACGATATGATGCTCCGATGTGTCCATTTCATGAACTATTCATGTGGGTGCATGGGCGCACACCTCGCAGCCCAATTCCCTGTTTTGCTACGGCACCCTGTCAAGAAGGCAGGGCGAAATTTTTGCCCCATCCAATGACAGCCGCCGTGAAGGCAAGAATCCTATAGCACAACCTGGGTCTGTGAATACCTAAGGCCCAAGATCCAGGGAGCACAAGTGTGGGATTCCCCGCTCCATATTCCAGACACCTATCTGCAAGGGATCCGACAGGCCTCCACACCGGATTTGTGCGGAGGCGGGGATCGATCGAGAACGGCCGCTCTCCTCTGTTGCTTTGGTAATACTTATTATCATGCTACTTACAATCACAAGAATAACAATAATAGTAACAGTGCCACTAAATGTGTGGCGCTTGGCTGGCCTATGCTGGCCTGCTACATGGTACTGGCCCCAAAGCCCGAGCCCCCCAAATGTCCTCCTGACGAGCGTTTGAAGCGTTAGCCAGGGCTTGTAGAATCTCGGGATCGGCCTCGCCAGCTCCATCATCTCGAACACCTCAGGAGCTGTGCCGAGCCGGCTCCAAAATGCATACGGCTTCTGGTGCCTGGAGGGTCCTTCTGAAGTTCTAAACCGGCGGGTCAAACTTGTGTCCGCGATGACTGTGAGCACGGAAGCTAGCAACGCCTAGGGCCCTGCTCAACAGCGGACCTTCTTCTTCGAAGCTCTTCTGAAGTTGTATCGTGACAGCCGCTGCCGAAATTGTGGCAATGATGCTGGAAAACAGCTGCTTGCCGCGGGCTCTCAATCGGAATCTTGGGTACGGCATCTCATTTGTCTTCTTCTCCAAGACAAGACTGTCTGCAAAGCCGATAAGTTCGCCGATTTGACCGAGGCCCCCATCGCCTGGGGGGCTTGCCAGCCAGGCCGTAGGACCACGAGGATACTTTGCAGGTTTACCTCAGAAAGCACGCACGACTTCAGACTCGGCGCTGTTAAGACATGACTCGGGTTGAGGATGGTTGCAGGAGCATGAGCTATGCTTGGTGTCTCAACAGTACAGACAATGACTTGAAACAAGGTCAAGCCGGGAACCCGAAAACCCAACCGAAGAAAGTCATGCAAGAATGGACATCCGCGAGATTTTGTTTTCTCGCGTTCTTCTATCAGCCGCTGCAGCTGCATCCCGATATCGCGCTCCACCCCCCTTGTCCACGGCCCACCCGCGCACCGGCCTCTTGCGTCAAGATAGGGTCCGATACGGCCCACCCACACACCGCCCATCCACCGTCTAGTCTTCTTCGAGACACGGTTCCATATCGCTTTGGAGCACTAAACGAGAACCCAACCAAAGAGGGGTGTTCGAGAAAAAAGCGGGAAGAGTCTGGACTTGTGCCGCACTACTTCCTGTCAGCTTAGTCGAAAGTTTCGAAAGAAAAGGTGACCAGCGTTTGCCGACAATGCTGCTAGCTACAGCATCGTACTTGTGTTTGCTGGTACACTTAAGGGCAGAGTTTTCAATTCCTGCAACAGATGGGTCGAGCATCAGAGCTTGCACAAGGTCTCGGTCCAACCCCATTTAGTGAGTCTAGTGTCGCGTAGCTGTTCGAGGGCGACATGTGGAAGCCAACAACATGCTCAGGCATGAACCTGACAGTCCATGCCTGGGCCAATTGGAAGAAAATGCTGGCTTAGGTGGGGACGGAGTCTCATCGACAATACGTTTCTGTCAGGCCAGAGATGGCTGCAGACCATGCTGTGTCATTGAGAATCACAATATATGATGCTCGTCTTATGGATGCAGCCGTAGATAAAAGCACCTGTAATGAGAAGGATGGTCCGGCGACGGCTTGCAAAAACCCCAAAGACACTGCAACAACGATGCGGAACAACGACCATACAATGCACTTGAAAGGCGATTGCTTCGTAGCATGCAAGCGCTGGCATGTGGATGCCGGTGTCATGCCGATCCCACCCACCTCCCCCATGCACGACCATGACCGTTACCCTGCATATGGTCTCTCGAGCCGCACATGCTGAACAGGTTGACGCCCACGGAAGCAAATGCGGTGAAGCTGCTCGAGCACACGAAGTAGTAGCGCCTTCCATTGTGCTCGAAGCCTGGCTTCCGGTACCGCTCGACTGAGTCCTGCAGCTCTTGTAACCTTTTGGGCCCAGGAAACTCCATGGTCATAAACTTCCAGCCGTCATCTGGTTTCATTCTCCAGTGAACTGGGCGGTGATACAGCTTTCTCACTTCCTGCAGCTTTGGCATGCCTCCGGTGATAATGAAACATGGCACCTCGAAGCTGCCTGGCTTCACTGCTTGCTGGCACAAGCTGCTGAAAAGGCCGGATGTTGTGAAATCAGAGTCCTCCACCAGCCATGAACCATCCATCTGAGACAGGTCGAATGATAAAACTTCGTCCACACAGTTTAACGTAGGAATCTGCAGTTATTTTGGCAGCAGCTTACTGTTACTCTGGACTACACAGTCAGATGCCGTGTGAGAGAAACCGAAGGCAAAGATGGTATTTGTTCAGGCCTGGGAATCGTGATTGCCTGCCAAGTGCCAGGTGCCACCACCACTGGAAGCGACAGAGCTGCACATCGTCTGCACTGGGGAAGGAGGCTCCATCAGGGGACAAGCCGCGGCCGACAAGAGACTGCCTGCGAAGGGTTCAGAGAAACATGCCGAGCCAAGTCGGGAAGGCTCTGTCTTGCGACTCTTGAATGCCACATAGTACCCGCGGGTGCACTGGACATTGATGCTTACTGCCTTGCAAGTATGTCACCTTGTGGGTTTCACTAAAGCCAACCCAATTGTCGCACCTCCCCGTAGCTTCTGCAGTAGATTCTTGAGCTTGCGCTTCTCCACCACATTCAAGTCCGTTGCATGCACGTCAGTGTCTTCCAGGATCAGCAAGTCCTTCCGGAACGAGGCAAGTCAGCAAAACGACGATAGGAAGAACGAACGAGTCGGCCAACTTGCCGGTCAACTTCCCAGGCAAAGGGCATACGAAAATGAAATTCCGTCAAGAGGGGATGAGTTCTTTCGGTGCTCCTCCAACTCGTGCACACCCCAGGTATCCAGCTTCGGAATGATGGATTTGAGTCCAGCATCCGTCAGGCACGCTTCTGCTTGGCCCCTCGTCATGCTCTAGGCGCAGCAGGAGATGTCACCTCTACAGTTTGTGTACAGCCTAACTCGTGGAAACTCGTGAGGACTGCTGGGGGCAAGTGGTCGGCCCCTTGTAGCACACTCCGGTTCTTGGGCTTCCTTGTGGGGCAAACAAAGGCTGCGAGGACACCGAGAGTTTTCTGGGCCAGAATTACTGCGGGCCATGCATCACTCTCCGGATCGGGTCCAGGCAACGGGTGCCAGGTGCGGCTTCAGCTCAAACTGGAGTTTGAGTGCTGTTCCGGTCCGGGGATGTGGGCAAAATCCGGATCGTCCGAAGAACTCATTTCGAAAAGCTTTAGCCAGCTTGCTACCTACCGATCCATGGCAGCTAGGCTACGGATCAAAACTCCTAGTCCATTGAGTATGCTAGCCATAGCAATATTTGTTGTTGTTGCCTTTCCACTTGGCTATCTCACATGGCCAAGAGCTTCGCCGCTGGTTACTCTCTGCCACGTGCCTCACAAGCGAGACACTGCGCAGCGCTGCAAAAACCAAAGGCAGGGCAAAGTGGAGTGCACGACTCAAGACAAGGACCTCCGGACTTCGGTTTCGAAACACGGCCGCGTGTACACCTTCTCGAATCAGCAGCAGGTGTACGGAGGCTGGTGTACAGTACGAGGGCACCTCTCGCTTCCGCAAGTCGCACAAAGCTGCAGACGTTGCTCCTTTTTCCTGGCTTCGGCTTGGGTGCTGGTCCAGGGGGTGTCCTTGCACCGCAAAGTCACAAGCAGTCAACAAAGTAGTTCAGGTACTGCTCGGCCTGGAAGACTACTTGATCCTGCAGCGCCGCGGCACTAGATGTGCCCAAATCTTTGGGGGAAGAGGAGACTAATCTCTGTGCTTTGTATTCATGCCTCGTTGCGCGCCTAAGGTTACATCTTCCGCAGAAGCTGAACAGGCCTTCGGCCTTTCATCCCAAGTTGAACGGCATGTGCCTCTTGGGGGGCTTGGGTAAAGCGCCATCATTCGACATCAACGGCTTGAAAGTCAAATGCCTCATCGATCAGCACCTCGAAGCCCCGCATGGGGGAATGAAGCATGGCTTCTTTGTTCTTCCCTTCGTCGCTGTGCGCCCAAAGAACGACCTCCATCATCTCGCGAATCATGTCAGGAATAATCGCTTTCTTCACCTGCGTATCCAAGACCCAAGAGGGATCTCTGTTTGCTTCCAGCAGGTACAGACGCTGGTCGGCATCAACGATGATGTCCAGGCCGAAGATCTCGAATTGTCCAACCTCCAATGCTCACAACATCTCACGCACAACCATAATTTGTTGTATCACATGCGCTAAACTTAAAACCTCTAGTCGTTTGCCGGCCAAGGATTTGCTGAGTAGTGAACCTTCGCCTTTTCGGCGATGCCCTCCTTCATGCCGAGGTTAACCTACACGGTGTGCATGTCTTGTCTACCCTCAGCGCGAACTGACTGGATCTCATGAACTATACTGCGGCAGGAAGGCCTCCATACAAATCGCTTTGACTTGTTGCCAAAAGTTGAGCCTGAACGCAGGAATACCATACTGCTCCTGCAGATATTTGTCCAGGTCCTGCCATCAGGCTTGTCTCAAGCCAATGCTGGAATACCCCATGCAGCAGAACATTCAGCCGACCTGTCGGGATAGACTTCCAACTTTGGCCAAAGCCAAAACAGTCAAGCGTACAGTACTACTGGTAGCAGCTTAATACCCTAAACCCTAAACCCAAAACCCTAAATTACACCACGAATCGGCTTGCATTCCGATGGGTCTACGTCCTCGATGGACATGAGCTGCGAAGCTGCAGAGCCGCCGAAGTCATCTTGCTTCTTCTGAAACTCCTGAAGCCGTTTACGAAGTTGAGAGGGGCAGAAAGACAGGACACGCTATTGGTGTCACCAAAGCTCCTGCTCTGTGATGTGTCGGAACAAGTCTTCGCGGTTGAATTTATTTTCGTCATAAAACTCTCCACAGCCTGCAGGTTGCCATCCGGTGCCTTGCACACCTGCACAGTGTCGCCGACTGGGGGCCAAACGTTTCACGTAACCAAAATTGTAATGGAACCTCGGCTGCCAACAAAGCTCCCAAAGGCGCAAACGATGTGATGAAGCCTCCCGCTTTGAGGCGCGGACGTGAGAAGCGGTTTGGTTCGAGCTACCAACATGTAGACCCGGATGGCGAACTTCCGGTTCCTCCGTCACCGGGCGAAGAGGGTTTGATCCAGATCAGCATAAGACATGCATTTACATCGGGGAGACAGTGACCAAACGCCTTATCGTGCGCGCACGGCTGAGGTCACGGTAGAAACAGTGGTGGTGGTGGGGGTGGTGGTGGTGGTGGTGGTGGTGGTGGTGGTACAGTAGTTAGCAATAGGAAGTGGGAGAACAGTAGAGAGATGCAGGACAACAATGAAAGCCAAGAAGACTTGTTGAGCCACCGGCATCGGATAAACACTCATCTATACCAAGGCTCTCCAGAAGCATCGGGTTCACCATGTACTCCTGAGCAGAGGGAGGGCCAGCCCGCATTTGATTCTAGTTGCGACTCCCGCGCTCTCACAAGGCAGGCAAGCTTCCAAAGCGTGAGTATTTTCTCCTACCCGCCCAGTTGACCGTTTTAGGGTTTATTATGGAATCCTTAAGAGAGGGGGTTCTAAGCGGGGTACATAACCCAGTAATCCCCAATTCTCCCTAGTACTCCCTAAGGTTCCCTAAAGCTCCCTAGGACCCTCCCCCCTTGAGCGACCCTCCCTTAAGGATCCTATAAGTTTAGGGCCAGTTGACCGTTTTAGGGTTACCTTAACCCCAAAGAACCTACCTTTTTCAGGACTTATATAAAGAAACTATAATAAGGAACCCCAATAAGGTAGGTTCTTTGGGGTCCAGGTAGGGCCAAATGAACCCTAAACCCTTTTGCAACAGGCTTTCCACTTCGCCCGGAGTTGGAGCAAGCAGCCCTAGCAGCTTTACTGCGGAGCCAGCTTTCGCATCCGCCGAGCAACGGCATCTGCAATTATGCTGAACAAGATGACCTTTCCAAACTTGTCATGAATCATCTGATGTGTGTGATGGCCGTCATGTATGAGAATATCGTAGACATCGTGACTGACATAAACATCGTAGAGCAACGCTAGTGAATCCATCTGCAAGAACCCGATCCAAGACCCTATATCCTAAACCCGAAACCCAAAATCCTAAACCCTGGGGCCAGATGATGGCCTGAATGATGCCGACATTGGCAAAGTTCCTCTCCTTGAGTGGTGGCTCGTTCGGATCGAAGACCTGCAGCTTGAGCTTCGGTTGGCAGGCTTTAAAAAGTCTCATGTAACAGCTCTTCGTGGGGTTCGAGGTTTTCTTAACTTTACGACGGGTGGGGTAGACTAATAGACGAACAGTGTAGAAATGGAAAACATGTGACGGTTCGCCTCGACATTCTTGCACCTTGTTCGAAAGGGCTTCTCCTTGCCAGGGCATTGCCATATGCATTGCCGCTAGCGGCCCTCCCGTTGCGAATGTCTGTGAGCATCCGGGGCGCTTTAGAGTCCACATCGGAGATCTTGTTCACCTCAACCGTGAGCTTGCAGCAAGTGCGCGGAAGAAGCTCCAACAGCATCCGAGCTGACGACCAGGATGATGCCTCTGCCCATCGCCTTGCAAACATCTCCAGGTTGCTTCTAGGGGTCGGGTAGGTGTCACGTTAGGCAAAGCACACCCACCAGACGCTGCATGTCCTCACCTCACAGCTCGGCTTGTAGATCCATTTCTTGTGTGGATTCGCCTCCACGGGGTCTCTGAGACCAGAAGCGAAAAGGGCTTGGCTTTGGGGACCTGATAATAATAATAAATAAGAATGAATAATAATAATAATAATAATAATAATATATGGCCTCTGCGTGTCGCTTCCACTGCTCCAGGTCATCCGGGAGAGCGAAGGTCAAAGGATACCACGGTGGTGGAAAATTAATTGGGATGTCCCTTTCAATGCATCGCTCCCGGATGAGCTCCAACATGCCCACCTGCAGAGTCAAGGTGCCTTGAGTGCAAGGTGCAGAAGTAGCAGGAGAGCCCTCCATCTTCTGGGGGGCATTAGAGGACTTCCTTTCCTGGGTCCTGAGCCCTGGACCTTGGTGAACATGTTGACGCCGCTTAGCCGATTGACCAGCCTCCGGATGCAATGACTTTTGCAAGGAGGTCTCAGCACAAGAGCAGAGTGCCAGCGAGGAGCCCTCGGAACTTGAGGGTGGGCCCATGGTCGATCAAGTTCCGGCTGGCTTCCCAGATGAACACTGGGGCGACCTTTCGGAGTCCAACAGGAAGCACTGCCGATTCAGCCAGAAAGTACATGGCGGCATGGCAGGAATTTGCTTCAGATTTAACGTGGCATGCTATTTACCGCACACTCGACCATTTTCAACCTATCCACATATTGTGAACCCCCCGCCCACTTGTCAGTTCCACTTCAATTGCCCTGAGCAGCTTTGCCTCTTCGCTTGGTTTCAGCACCTCCAAGCTGCCATCATCCTGCTTCTTCCTGGAGAATGGCATGCGGATTCGTGCAGAGACACGGGCGACTCGACACTTCGAGGTCCGGGCAGCCGTGGCACCGGCATACCCATGTAGTCCGTTACCTCCACAACTCGGAAGTGACCCAGCACGCTATATCATATTAAATCATATGTTTTATAAAAGTCATATAGTGTATTAAAATATCATACAGTTTCTCATACCGTTTTATAATATATTATACTCAAAAGACGGTGCATGGGCCTGGCCTGGGCCAAGCTCTCCTCTCGGCCGGAATGGGAATCGACGGTGCAGGTCCAGTTGAGCTCACTGAGGATGGGCTCCAGCAAGTCCACGATCGTCTGCGGGTTCTCAGGGGAGAGATAGTACCTGTAGTCTCCATTGTAGTTCCTTTTGGGGGTTACCTTATAGGATCCTTAATATAAAAATGGTTATACCAAAAAAAGGAACTACAATGGAGACTATAGGTACTGACACTTCAGCTTCGGCTTCACGAAGCCACCGCTGTTGATGTAGCTGGCGAAGTCAGACTCTGTCCAGCAGAACAAGGCTTCCGGTGGAACGTAGCCTGGCTGCAGCAGGACTTTCGGAGATCGCGGACATGGGATAGTACACTACCCGACGACTCAAATACAGCGGTTACAGTTATGACGCACACCCCCAACCAAACAAACACGCATCGTTTTGGTCGTTGTTTCTCCCTCTCTTTCCCTACATACACGCACACACACACACACATATGCGTATACATGTGAGAATCAATCATCTAGTTTTTCATTTCTATTGACTTACTTAATCTATCTACTTAGATCAACGTTACAAATATGCACATGAGTTTGTGTATGCGTGCGTGGCCGCTGATGTGTGTAGGCATGTGCATCTGCGTGTGGATGTTTGCCTGTGTGTCCATGTGTGTGTGTGTATGCATGCCCATATCTATCTCTATATATATATATATATAGAATAACAATACTCATTCACATACGCAGGCATTTCGTAGTACTCCACCAGCCTACCCTGCCTACTCTGTTGCTATTGATGAAGTGATGATGGGCATGCAGTGATGGATCACGCCCTTGCCGGCCTGGGAAACGCGGATTCTTCTCTACTGCACGGCGAGTCCAGGGGTGGTTGTCTGCCATTTCCTGCGCTCAGAGAGAGCTTTGCCAAGGCCCTCGGAACGCAAAAAGTGCTGATGCCTGTGCAGCTGACGGCAGCCACCCTGATCCTTAGCAGAGCCACAATAAGACTCCCGAACTCTGGGGACGAGATCTTCCCGAAAGGGTCGAGGCAGCCGCTCTGCTCTAAAGGATACTGCCACCTCAGCCGGCCACTGGCCAGAATCCGCTACTCGAGAGACTGCACCCAAGAAGTCCGGCGGTGATCTGTCGTAAGGCGGTAGCTCTTTCTTTGCGAGGAAGTTGCCCTTCCAAACAGGCTGGCTCACAGTCACAGCACGGGGGCAGTTGTGCTCAGCCGTTTGCCGAAGTATCATGAGTCTAGTGAGTTTGGGGAAGCTATGGACCATTGGCAGCCTGCAGCCCATCCCACCAGAATTCATGAGTCAACGGGCTCTACAGATCGCATTCCAAGCCTCCAGGTCACGGGGCACGTCATCCACTTCGGATTTTGTCATGGCCTGCGTAGCACGAGTTCCCAATGCATTTCAAAAGACCTTGCCGCCCAGGCAACGCAGGCTCGAATGCGATGATTCTGCGGTTCCCAAACAGGTCTCAGATCTGGGCCTCCACTTGAGTGCCTTCAGACCAAACAAAACATTCTGAGGTCAACAAAACTGTCTTGAGCCGGCAGCGGCGGGTGCACATGCTGCAGAACAAATCTTGTCCTGCTTCTGTAAAGCAACCTTCACCGCTGACAACTGCTCAAGACCTGGGTCCACCCTTCCGGCCATTTTTGTCCAACCTCCCTGGCGGATCCACAGAATCTCGGTTATGATAATTAAGGAGATACAGGCATTATCAATTGGAGTAGCGGTTCTCACCGCAGCGTCGTCAAGGAACTTTGGGGAGCACCCGACGGAGATGGCCTGCAGGGACCCCTTTCTGTGTAGGGAGACTTTGAAACGGGGAAGAATTGGCTCGAAACCTAGTGTGTTTCGCTGCTGTCCATTTCTCCTCATTCGTCTCATGCTGCCTAGTGACTAGTGCCGTCACATGCACTCTGTCAGTTTCATACATCTTGTACTTCTGGTTAAGTCAGCCGTAGTCCTTATGAATGCAGACAACAACCCTCTCTCTCTCACAAGTACTCGAAGCGTCACCCTTTTTTTGAGCAGGGACTGCAATGCACTAAGCCCTGTCACCCTGAGAACCCTAAATCCTAAACTCTGAGGCAAAAAAGCCCACCATGACAGTCCAACGAATTCCTGCTTTGGGCCTGGTAGGAGAGAGGCCAAGCCCAAGACGTGCTTCCTCCTTTTCGACGAACCTCATCTGCTCAGAAGTTCAGGGAAGAAAGCGGTTAGCCACTGAGCTGCTTCGGCGAGTTGACTCCGTCTAGACGCCAGAGCACTAGCTTTGTTGCACCCGGCTTTCTGTCCTTGGATGACCCCTCTGAGGCAAGCACTCGCACAGAAATCGCATAGCATCCGCGCTATTCCCCACACTGCCTGAGCAATCTAGCAGGATGATTCCTCCCTGGTGTGCGGCCAGCTGCTACGATCGAACTGACGTGCACTTTCTACTTTCGACTCATTCCCGACATCATCAACAAAAAATGCATGTGCATGCGCGCGAGGCTTTTGAGTTGCTGTTGGTTCTGGCGCCTCTCTTGGCATTCCGAGGCTTTCGGCGAGCTTCCTACGCCTTGCGAGGCTCCTATGGCATGGCCCCGGGCAGCCGAATTCCTCAGCCTCAGCCCAGATGAGAGTGGGCAGTGCGAGCAGTTGTCCGCACTATCCGCGCTCCATTCGACATCTCAACAGCATCCAGCCTTCGAAAGCGAGCAGGGCACACATGTATATCCTATGCAAATACATATATATATATATGTAGAAATATATATATATATATAATATCGGTATATATTTATATAATTTTATGTACCATGTATGGCATATGCCGTAAGAACAACACGGCCTTTGCTGGATTGGGCTCAAGTGGCAGTGCATCCACCAGATCGCATGCTAAAGCCACCATGGCCACATCGCAGGCTTGCGGCTCTGGGAGGGAACTGCCGGGATGCATCCCAACTTGATACTGGTCCTCGCCAGCTGCGAATGTTCGTTTATGGTTTCCTAAACCCCCCAAAGTAGGTAAAACAATGGCCCAAAACCTTGTAAAGGCTATTATTTTACATGCTTTTGGGGTCCAGGTTATGCCTATGTATGTTTTTCCTCGCCACAAGAAATAAGACACCTGAGCCTTGCTCTACGAAATGGGGAAAGGCTTTTCTCGGATCCCGCATCGCAAGCCAGGCAAGCACAGCGGGTCTTCACGCTTCAATCTCTGGGGAAGTTATAAGGCAAGTTGCCGCCAGATCGCAATACGCATCAACAGCAGTGAAGACTTCCAGAAACACAGGCTTTCCCAACCCAGTACTTCTAGATTCTAGAAAGCCAGTTTCACAACCGGTCCCAAAACCTTCCGGAGCGTCGGGCAGGAACCGCCTACAGGAGAATCATTCCTAGAAACCGAAAAAGTTTAATCGGATCACAGAAGCCTGCACCTAGTTACGGGCACACATACATAGCGACTAGACACGTGTAGACCCAGTTGGATAGATAAACTGCATCTCTGCACAAGTAACCCAGCAAAACACATGTACACGGAACCAATCATTTACATTTCCAGATACACGATCACACACCGCATCAAGCTGCTGTCTGAGCTGTTTGGTCCGTTTCTAATGCTCAAACCCACAATTTCCGGAACCAAAAATAAAGGTAGCGTGACATGCCTGAAAGAACTCCAAACATGCTTAATTCTCACCTGTGCCGATTTCAGATTCAAGCATCTCGCTCAAAGACGTCCTGGTGGCGGTGGGGAAAGGACTTGCGAGATTTGTCCAAATCCAGCTTCACAGCCGAACGTGCATGGGAAGTCCACGGTGACAATGCCAGCATCCACAGCGCAGGCCACATCTTAGATCTTTTTGGAGGGTTGAGGGTGCAGGCATGCAAACTCAAGCAATGCCCATCTTCCACCGGGCAAAGAAACAAGACCGCCCGAGATTTTAGATGATTTTAGGCGGTGTGTTGACCGATCAACACAGCCCATCTATCCCAACCCTCTCATAACTGGTGTTTCTGTCCGCCTAGTCTTGCTGTCTTTTTGGTGGCAGATGCACAGGTTCAAGGTGGAAGCGATGGCAATTGCATGCATGGGTGTGGCTGTACATGTTGGGTTTCATGACATGGCACCATCCATACCAGCTAGCAGGCCAACAAAGTTCTCCAGGACTTGCATTTCCGAATCTTTCCTTCAACTAAAGAGAAGAAACCAGCTCAGGAGCCTCCTGGCGAAAGCTACGGGGTGCCGGGACCGGACAAACCTAAACCCCCAAAAATAGGTAAAATAATGGCCCAAAACCTTTAAAAGGCTATTATTCTACATACTTTTGGGATAGAAGCCAAGGCTCCGCCCGCTAACCTGGTAATGGCGTGCCGCTCATTCGCAGACAGTAGGGAAAGCGCTTGGTCAAAGGGGAACCAGTCGTAAACGTCTTCCGGATCTTCGATGGTGTCTGCATCTTCAGCACTGCCCGGTGGTGGTGGGCTGGTTGCCACTGCTGCGAATATTGAGACAACCTGCGGCTTCGCTTGACCAGCTTTCTCATAGTACACAGCAGGTGGAACATCGCCAAGCAATGCAAACTCTTCGGGGTAGATATCGCAGGCTTCCGCTACTGCTCGTGTTGCGGCCTGCTGTGCCGTCTCAGAATTCCGCGCCTCTTCAACTGGTATGTGCAATTGCCTTCGGAGTCCCGTTCCAAGACACACTTTCGTCCTCTGAGGACCAAGCAGCCAAACCTCCTGGAAACATCCGACACATTCCGCCGCCCATCTAAAACTGGCACGTAACCGTCCCGCAGGCCTTGGTGCGGGGTCACTTGCTGGCCAAGTAGGACCAGGCGGCCTTGAAGGGAAAGTGTTCTCCCGGAAACTGCCACCGATTTGCCTGGAACAATCACTTTTGCCATGGTTGTTGCGAAAAGGCCTTCCACGGATCCTTGCGCGTCGGCCAGCAGCGCTCGCAACACACCCGCATCTTCGTCGTAGGAAGTCTGGATGTTCAGGATGAGGCCGGAAAATACTGCACCTGGAGCCAGGATGTCGAGAAAGTGCCAGGCAAGATGTCCCGCTCTACTTTGTTGCTGAGCAGTGCAACTACATCGGCAGGGATGGGATCCGGATCCAGGGAGGTGACCGCAGTCCCAAAGATGTACCAGCAACAATTGGCCCAGGAAGCTTTTCTTGAGGTAGAACAGACGGGGTCAAGCTTCGGAAGCTTTCCATGGTCGGCAGTGTAACATTATGTCCAGTTTGCACCTTGGATAAGTGTCGAGCAGTCTAGCAAGCGCGCATGTGCATGCCGAAAGGTGGCAGAGCTATGATGACGTGCCTGTGGTAGCTGAGTGCAAGACCAACTGTTTGGATTTAGGGTTAATGTCGAAGTCCACAAAAGTGAAGTTCAGATCCTCCACATCAAGTCTTGACGCTGAGCTCTGAGGACCCATTGCGTCCACCAGCGCTTCCATGCTAAATCCAGTGCCCAGGATGCAAACCTCAACATGTCCTGTGGCGAGTTGTGCTACAGATTTCTGGCATGGCGGATCCCCCAGCACTATCAGCTTTTAGATGCGCGGCTGGTCGTGAAGTCTCACAAGCGGCACCCAAAGCTCGGCATCGCTTCCGAATGCGATAACCGTGGCCTCCCTGGGATTGAAGTTGGCAAACCAACGCTCCAGCATCCGTCTGGACCTTGCTGGCCAGACCACTTCCGCTTGCCAGTCTTGGCATGCAGCAACGTCAGATACGTCTATCACGAAAAGCAGGTCGTTTCTGTCGCGTCGCAACACCGACCTTGCCAGCCCAATGTGCTGGTGGCAGGCACTGTCTGGACCCGTGAAGTCTGCAGGACCGGTCGCTCCGTGTAACAAAACGAGGGGCTGTAAAGGCGAATGCGTCGGCTTGTATGGCCAAGCGCTGGAGATCACAAACAACTTTACCGCAGGGTCACTTGACTCTTCGGCACGCCGGCTTCTACGGGCCATAGCTGCGGAAAAGTCGCTTACATAGCGCTGCGTGATGGTAGCGCTGATATGCCTTGTTCTTGCCACCTCTTGTGCGTGTGAATGAAGCCTCTCGCAATCAAGAAGAGACGGTCCAAAACTAGAGCTCGATTTTCAGGCTCATGTCCGTTTTGAATCGAAGGTTTGCTCTGTTTCATGAACATAATACTTCTTGTGCCGTTCAGCACCGCAGTATTGAACACGATGACAACTCCATGTGGGCACTCGTCGCAATAATCAAGGCAGTAGTTGTAGCAATAGTAAGACTAATCACACTACAAATCATAATCACGACGACGACTACTACTACCACTACTCAGTACTCCTCATGACAGTGAGGATATCAATAAGAAGAAGAAAAATAACAATAATACAGAGGCCAATGATAGTAACCACAGTAATGGTGACAATCATAACAAAAATAACAACAACACAAATCAGAATAACAACAATAACAACCTTCAACATATATTAGTAGTAGTAATAACAGCAAAGAGGAATAGTCAGAACACAGTTCTGATGGTAACAGCAATACTATGCTGCGGCCAGTCTCGAGCGAGTTGACAACCGCTTCGGCCTCGGCGCCGAGTGCTCTCAGATCCTGGCTGCGTCGTGCACCACTGACAGCACAGGAACAGCGAGTGCGCACGTAGGATTCTGTAGGTTTAAGTCTACATATAGTCATGCCTCTCTATTCAACGTATATATATATATATATATACATATGTGTGTATGTATGTGTGTATGTATGTATGTATGTATGTATGTATGTATGTATGTATGTATGTGTGTGTGTGCGCATGTATGTATGTATGTCTGTATGTGTATGTGTATGTACATATATATATATATAGACAGGCAGATATAGGGCAGCAAAGGTTTGAGAGGTATGAGAAGGGAAGGTGCAGGGCGCCTGCTTCCAGCGTGGCGCCTGAAGCGTCCGGGCTGACGATGTCTCGATGGGCTGGCCCGGGAAGCCTGGTAATGTAGGGGCCTAGGGTTTCGGGGTATACTATACTACAATTACAATAAGGAACCCCCAAAATAGTATGGGTACTTATTAAGGCCCCTGTATTAGGCTAGCAGATCGCTGGCGCAAGTGCCATTGGCAATCAAGGGCTTTCTGTGTTGCTACAGGGGGTGCTGCCAGGGGTGCTATAAGGGTACGATACTGGGGTTCTAAACTTGTCAGAAAGCAGAGTCGACGACGACTTCAGCTCCAGTCCCTCTGTGCAGAGGCCACAGAACATGCTGTTTGCCAGAAGGGCCCTTGAAAATCATAGCAACGTCCATCGTTTGATGGCAGGGGACGCTTTCGCATCGAAGGCGTAGCGTCGAGAGAAAAGAGAAAATTCAAACGCAGCGAATTTTTTTGAGAACAAGACCAGAGCAGAACTCTTGCAGCTCTAGGCCTTAGCCTCGGCTTGAGCACTAACTTTTCACCCATTGTAGCCTTCCTCGGGGTTCCGTTTTATAGTTACAGTATAATATGCCCCTTATCTAGCCCTCTAGCAGTTATCTAGCTGTCTAAATCGATGACGGCACGTCCTGGGTCACGGAGGACCCAGTTCGCAAGTGACTGCTGGCAAGCACGCCTGGCAACTTTCGACCGAGATCTGCTGGCAGAACGCCTTGGCGAGCGTTTCCGGCTCCGCTGCTTTGGCGCATCGGACTTTGGCAGCCGGAACTCCCTTCTCGTGAAGACTTTGGTCAGCTCTCCGCCAGGGAGGCTGATGACGTCGTAACCCTCAGCATCGTTCCAAGTGCTGTTCATGATTCCACGGCGCATGTTCAGCACGGCATCCGCGGAAAGCTGCCGTGCGCCCTTCAAATCTGAAACACACCGAAAAGGGTAGGTCTCGCCTAGGACAACACCGGCTGCTGTTAAGACGTCCGCTGGTGCCTCCCATGGCTTGTGAAGAAATCGTCTTGGCAGCTTCTGCAGTTCAGGCACCCAGCGTCGGACGTAGGCACCCGAAGGGTCCTGGGATCCACCTGGAGCGTTTTTCATTTAGGGTTCCAGGATGTGCAGGGTGAGTTGCAGGCACGGGGTTCCCTCAACATCTCTCAAAATTTCCTACGGAATGCCGGCAATTGACATTGGCTACTTAAGGAACACTTGCGACGATGACCAGCATGAAGCTGCAAGAGAACCGAGTTTCACACCTTCAGGAGAGATAACGAAATTCCATTGATCAATGCCAGAACGTCCAGCATTTTGCCACATCATGCTGTTGATCGCAATGTCTGCGTCCACCAAAGTGTCCTCGTACCACTCAGCACCCTTGACCCAGTCGATGTTGCAGTATTCAACCAAGAAAGAGGCCACTACCATCCTAGGTTCCCCAGTAGCCCCTGAATAATAAGTCTACCCTCTTTCCGGCTATTTGGTTTTATTACGGGAGCCCAAAGGGAAAAGGGGCAAAGGGGCACTACTGGGGAACCTAGCATCCGCATGTTTTGTTGACACCAACCAGTCTTCCAGAGCTCCCTCATAGCAGCATCGACCAGTGGATATCCGGTTGAGCCCTTCTGCCACTTCTTGAGCAGCTGCATGTCTTGGCTCCAGCTGATGTCTTTGTAGCTCGACCGGATCGGCTCATGGCGCATTTTAGGGAACACCATATAGTGAAAGTACGCGAGCTCTCTCCAGAAGAGCCTGCGCTCAAAGGTCTTCACGTCCTTTTCTTGAAGTCCCGTCCCCTTTACCGCCCAATAGAGATCGTGAGGAGAGAGCTGGCCCCATCGGAGGTAGGGCGATAAGCGTGAGTTGGGATTCTCTTCCAGGTCTGCCCGGCTCCGTTGCTTCTCATAGTTCTCCAGGCGCGGCCCCAGCACGAAGGACTGCATCTGGGAGAGTGCGGCATCTTCGCCAAAGTCCCATGCTTCGCGTATAGGGGCACTCCAATCCTCTATGCCAGGTGGGATTTTGGCGAGCTGGAGTTCCTCCAGGGGTTGTGTGATTTCTTTGGCCAGCTCGGGGCTCGATGGAAGTGTCGCCGGCTTGGGTAGAGGCTTGCGGGGCTGTCCGAGTCTTCGGCAGGCCCCTAAGAAAGGCAGCAAGGTTCCCCAATGGCCGTGGTGAAAGCCACTGTTCATCGAGATGCTCTCTGGTTCGTAGAGCAAGTAGCTCTCAAAGCTATGCACGGACACGCCCATCTGCTGCAGCTCGCTGGAGATTCGGTCGTCTGCTTCCTTCAACCACGGCTCATATCGACGATTGAAATAGACGGCTCTGACATTCAGCTGCCGGCAGAGAGATGTCAGCTCCTCAGTGACGTCCCCACGACGCAAGCAAAGCCTCGAGCCCATGCTCTCCAAAGTCGCTGATAAGGCTTTCAATGACTCCTTCAGCCAGACCTGGGCCGCTCCCCCCACTTCCTCCTCTGCGATGTAGAGAGGGAGAAGCTCAGGGTGCCGCGCTGCGGCGGTCAGGGCAGGGTTGTCGTGCACTCTCAGGTCCACACGAAACCACATGAGGGCCAAACCTTCGCTCCGAGTGTCGTCTGCAGCCAGGGCCGCCTTAGGGGCTCCTGGCGACACCTGGGGGTACCCGAAAATAGGGGACCCTAAGATAGTACCCTAAATAGTAGGACCCTTATTATAAGGACCCCAAAATAAGGTACCCCCTATTTTCGGAAACTCCCACCTGGCTGCTTAGAAGGCTGTCCTGTGGATCTCGGAACAAAGCCCTCATGCTTCGGAGCGCAGAGGCATTTTCCACAGGGCTCTCCACCAGTGGCAGCACACCGAACTCGGAATACAACTCTAAGATCTGCTGGGTCACATTCCCGGCATTCTCCAAAGACTCCAGATAGCTGTTGGGGGTCAGATCGACGCCGGCCCATGGGCGCTCGCGGAACCTTTGCAGGGAGGGCCCCTAGAGTCGATCTCCCTACCCAAAGGCTCCAGTGTAGATCCTTTTGGTGATATATATATATATATATGTATTTATTTATGTATTTATCTATATTTATATTTATGATCCTATAATGTAATCCCAAAAAGGAACTACAATGGAGCCTATGGGTAATCCGAAGCGATCAGCTATGGTAATCAGAGGTTCCCATTCATTAGCAAGACCGCAAAGTCTCTTCCGTCGTCCACTTAGGCTTCTGGATGTATTCCCAGCCTTGCACTAAGACCCGGAGGGCAGGGGGAAACCACCTGTTGAACATCACAACTGCCCGGGCCAGTCCTGCTCAGAAGCTGCCGCGATGGCACGAAGACAGAGCCGTAAATTCTGATGTCACCCGCTGCATCCCGAAGAAACTCCAGGCCAGCACGCAGAGCCTCCAAGTCAGAGCCAATCTGCAGCCAGATTGAATCTACCAGGCCGGAAGACAACTTGTCCTCCCATGAGCGCGTGCAAGTCGAGTCTTTGGCCGAAAAGGGGGGTACATGTCCAAACCACCCACTTTCTAAACTCTAAACGGAGCAGTCACACAACCCCAAGCCCCGGGTCCTTCAAGCGTGCCTGCTCGATCTCAGGATCTTCAAAGGGGCTGAACGCAACGCCCAGGCGTGGGAGTTTCAGCTGGCTTTCGCGCAGGTCGGCAGCGAGCTCGCGCAAGCAGCTCACCGCATCACGCTTCGGCTTCTTCCCGGTACCCGATACGAGCAGCACAGCCTGAACACCCACATCTGCAGCTTCAAGCAGAAATTCACGAAAGGGTCGGACACCAGCCGGCATGTTCTTGAGGCTGTAGTGAAGACAGACATCAGCCTTGGAGATTTTGCCTAAGATCGCTCGAGCTGAGGATAGGAGATCCTTGCTCTGTCCCTTGGTTTTGTTCGGTATGTTCACCCGAACTCCACCCAGGATCTGGCGAACATCCTTCTGCAGGAATGGCACGAGATCGCGTTCCAGTCGCGATCCCATTTTGTAGAGCTCAAGTCGGGCAGACTCCAGCCCGGGCCTTCCCATCGCTCGCCTCACAACCAGTCGTCTCCTCCCGCTGTCAGCAGCGACTCCAACTGCAGCAATACAGCCGACCAGAATAGAAGACCTGGATGTGGAGCGAGGCTTGCCGAATGCACGGACAGGGTCTCTGCGGTCAACGTCCGAAATGAGACCAGGCGAGGAAACTCCAAGAAGCACTGGCGGTCTCAACAGCATGGGACACGGAGCATGGCTTTGCACAACTATAAGGAAGAATTACAACTCACTGGCCACATGTGCTTCCTGCGACTTAGTACAGGGAAGTAGCTGCTAGCTGGGATTTCCTAGCTTAGCTCATTGGGCTGCAGGACCAAAGGCCATCAACACATGCAGCCCTGCACTCTGCTTCAACTGCTGTAACGGACCAGGTGCACCACGCCACATGACTGAATCGAGCACACAGAAGCAGAACTCAACACGAAGGTGGCCTGGCACTCATGTCACCACGTGGCTCCTGCAATGCAGCCTGCACGGAATCACTGACATTGAGGATTTGAAAATTCTGGACGATGGCTTGCGCCTGTGCGGCAGCGACGGCGGCTACTCGAGGAAAGCTGTGCCGCCCAGGACTTGGCTCCTGCCGCAAGTTCCTAACCAGCCTGCAACAGCAGCACCACCACCGCCACCGCCACCACCACCGTCACCGCCACCGCCACCATGACGACGACTACTACTACTGCTGCTACTGCTACTCGTACTACTACTACTACTACTACTACTACTACTACTACTATACTACTACTACTACTACTACTACTACTACTACTACTGCCACTGCCACTGCCACTGCCACTGCCACTGCGACCGCTACCGCTACCGCTACCGCGACCGCCACCGCTACTACCACCACCACTACTACGTGTGGCAAGCTTCAAGCTCGAGCCAGTCACTACATGTACACTCTCAACCCCAAACCCTACAACCAAGCCCGAAAGGCTAGCCACAGAAAGCCATAAGCCCTGATACCCGACAACCCCTAAGCCCTAACAGCAATCTGCAAACAAAATCTACCCACGTAGAACCCTCATGGCACCCTTATGCAAAACATATAGAAACCCTTACACACCCTTTTAAAGAAACCCTAATCCCGATAGAAACCCTGAAAGATCCCTTTAAAGGAACCCCAAAAGGGGCCCGGAAACGCTGGCATTTTTCTGAAAACGGCGGCCTGAACTGAAGGCCGGATATCGGGCTGTACGAAGCGTCGCTGCGGCGGATATGCCTGACTTTTTGAGTTCTCCAAACATATAATAGCACAGTATATTGTAGTACAGCATAATGTATTATAGTATAGTATACTATTGTATAGTAGAATATGGTACATACTATCGGGTTCTTATGCTTGAAGTGCACAGAACGGGCTAGAGGCCCGCCCGCCGGGAGGTTCCTCGCTGTGGTGCGATCTGCAGGCCCCATCCCGGAAGCCAGATCCGTTGTACATTCAACAGCATTTGATGGCCCGTTTATGGGGGCAAGTATGACTGCAGTGGTCCTGAATCCCGCCAGTACACCGGGGGAAGCATGGTGGGCGCGTGTCTGATGCCGGCAGTGGGGGAAAACACTTTGGTCTTGCAATTTGACCATGCCAGTAACTGCGCAGGTCCCTAACAGTGACGACCATGAACCACCGGATCACGACCGGGATACTCCGAGACCATCCGACCACCTCCTACCAAGAATCCTAGCAGACCACCAGTACACCACCATGAAACCAGGGCACAACATCCTGGCCCCCATCATGAACCCCCGAAGCTCAGCTCAGGTGTGCTGTAAAACACGTCATCCGGCCTTCGGTGCCGAGCTCTGCAGCGACCGAGGAGACCTCACCCACTTTAAACCAGGCTAAGCCGCGCAAAGAGAGAACCCACTCCGGCCCATGCTATGTCTTACAAGTATCTGTGTATGCGTGAATCTGTTTGAAAGCCACAGCGCTAGGTCAGGCTCTCAAGGCAAAGTTTGCCTATCGCCTGGCGACGGAGGCGGAAGCGGATGGCGTAGAGTATGCAGCTAGAAAATATGGGCCCAGGCTACGAAGTTCGAAGAGTCCGGGAAGAGACCAAGTATCCTCTTCGAGAAAGCAATCTCAACTGTCAGAGTCGTCGCCTCATTCACTCCCCAGTTAGACTGGAGAATCAAAATTATTTATCTGTGCCTTTGGCTCCCGCATAGAAAGCCAAAAAGCAAACTCCACATGTGAGACGGCCAACCCTAAACCATAGGCCCGCTCTAAACAAAGGGACCCTAATGTTCGAAGTTCGGGGGAGAAGGGCAAGGGTTTGCCGCGAAAACTCCGGGTGTTCTGCCGAGAGTTGACAGGCGAACTAAGCTTCATGCTGAAGCCTTCTCGCCAAGGCTTCATTCTGATTCTCCATGGCCCGCAGCCGTGCCTGGAGGAAAGCCATTCCAAGAGCTGCAACAATCTCGCAATTGCTTTGACATGGTGCTTTCCTTTCCGTACTTGTATTCCTGTCCATGTTTCTCTTCCTTCTTGTGTTTCCCGGTTTCTGACACTCACGTGCAACATCGTGCTACACATACTTTCATACACACACAAAGCACGCGTCCGCAAGCCATCAGCGCTCGAAGTCCAAAAGCCTGAAGATATAGCTCATAAGGCCTAGACCCCCCAAAAGTAGGTAACATATTGGCCCTTAAGACCTATAAAGGGCTACTATTCTACATACTTTTGGGGTCCAAGTAGTACCCTAAATCCCAAAACCCCAAACTCTAAACCCTAAACCCTAAACCCTAAACCCTAAACCCTAAGCCCTAAAAGGTCGAGGTTCCCAGGAGGCCTTGGCAGATTCTGCTTGGTCTTGGAGTCGCTGTACACGGTCAGACCTTGCGATCTTTCTGTTGCACATATGTAGCTCTCTTTAAGAGGGATCTTTAAGGGTTTCTATAGGGCTTCTCTAAGGGATCTATATGCGTAGTTCTCTAATTTAGGGTCTTTGTTAAGGTCCGTTCTATAAAGAAGAGTGCTGTACTATAATGGGGGCTTAAAAAGGGGCCCTACTTTAAGAGAACTACCCACATGAACAAACAAAGAGGGCCGACATCTCTTCTCGTCCAGTATGTGTAGGCCCTTCGAGCTGCCACTGCAGCTCTCCTGTCGTCAGGCTTCGACTGTTTGTCCTTCTTGCGATAACCCCTCTTCGTCACAACAGTAGGATCTCATGAGGAACAGGGACTTACCAATCACTGCTGCCCACAGCCAAACTACAGCGGCCGCAGGACAGAGAGGGAAAACGCAAATTCTTCGTGTGGCCGCGGACATTCCCCGCCTGATGGATGTCCGCCGCGTTGAAAAAAGCTTTGGCTTTGGCTGGAAAAGGTTCATCGAAATCAAGTGCTGCACCCTTCTCGGAATCTCACTTCCCACGGCTTCAAAATTATTCGAGTGAGTTTCTGAATTCATAGGCACCCTGGCAGAGACTTCCTTAAGTAGGCCGTATTAGGTCCTTATTACAGGTGTTAAGGCCCCCTATACCCCTACCTGTAGTCTCCATTGTAGTTCCTCTTTGGGGATACCTTATAAATCCTTAATATATAGTTGGTTAAACCAAACAAAAGGAACTACAATGGAGACTATAAGTAAGGGTCCTTATGATCCTGCCCCCCCTAAGGGTCCTTATTTTCAATCCCTAAACCCTAAACCCTAAACCCTATCATGTACTGAGGCTGCAGCTCATCACCCAGCTCCCTCACTCGCTCCACGAGCCGTTCCTGCGGAACTGAAGCGCCATCCCCATGACGCCACAGAAAAGTAAAACACTAAATAAGTAAATGCATAAATAATGAATAGATATATACATAAAACTGGAAAATACAAGTACAATGAGTGAAGCTCATATATATATATATATATGTATGTATGTATGTATGTATGTATGTATGTATGTATGTATGTATGATTATGTAAGTATGTATGTATGTATGTATGTATGTATGTATGTATGTATGTATGTATGGGGTGACGGCTTTTTGAGGCGCCATGGTTCAACATATAAAACCGGGTTATCAAGCACTTGCGCCGGAGCTATCGAGAACAGGTAGGGATTATCGGGCGCAAGGCTGGGGGCTTTTCAGGCACATGGGAAAATAGTCTTCAAACGTGTGCAACCGATTCCCCAAACCCTATACCCTAAACAAAACCTGTGCTTGTGAATGATAATTCTCGCGCATGTTCTGGATAATGCCCGTGCATCTCCTTGATAAATGGCGTGCTGGCCTCTGATAAAACTGGCCATGGTTCCCGAACCATGGCGCCATGACAACTCAATACTTTTTCTTACAAAGACAGCTCCCTACATGTATGTATGTATGTATGTATGTATGTATGTATGTATGTATGTATGTACATATGTATAACCGTATATAGTAGAATCCTAGAGCGTGCCGCAACATAGCTCTGTGCAGTAGGCACAGGACCGGAGTTCCTCCAAATGCTTGCACCGACGCACCACCTCATCCAGAGCTGGTGCCGCAACCTGCAGCTCGACCTCATGGCTGAGAGTGCATGGAGATTCAGCTCATCGGTCTCCGAATCAGAAGCACTTTCGCGAGCGATAGGGCCGATAGGGAGCCTCAAGGCGATTGCGTTCTTGGGTTGCTTGGTCCGCCTGATGCACCAGAAGACCCATCAGAGAGCGGTGTGCTGCGACAGCAAGAACCATTTCTTTTCGGGGCCGTGGCCTCGCGCTGTAGCCTTGTTCGATCAGCATTCAGATCCCGCAGCTCGAGGCGCAAACGTTCCACGGTGACCTGCTTGAGAGGTCTTGGAACAAACTCGCACATTGACTAGGCACACTCCGGGCAGCAATGCATCAACACACTCTGTGGCAGGTCAGCCGGTGCCTCTCCGGTGCTCTGCTTCTGCAGGTGCTCATCCCGAGAGCGGCGCTGCTCTGCACACTGCCTCAGACCATCGGTGCAGTAGCTCGATGTCCTTTCTGGAGCAATGCTGTCCGCAACGGGGGCTGCGCTCAGTCAGATCAGCCGCCTCAGTGAAAAGGATGTGCTCATAAGCAGCACACAAGACACTAAACCTGTCTTGCTGGCAACGCCAATCAAGCTGCGTCACATCTTTTCGGTTTGCAGCGGCATCAGTCGCGCAGGCATGGCAGAAATGTGTGGTACGCGTGGGCCTGCTGAACTGCCTGCAAGTGGTAGGAGACGCGATTCGGAAAGCATCGGAAAGACGTAGGTGGGAGTTTCCGAAAATAGGGGGTACCTTATTTTGGGGTCCTTATAATAAGGATCCTATTATTTCGGGTACTATATTAGGGTCCCCTATTTTCGGAAACCCCCAGGTTGGTATGCTTGATCATGTTCTGTAGTGAGATCTTGCCCGGGCGACTACTGTGGCTGGAGTTCGCCGAAGTCTTCCCTGCATTTTACCATGCACTGCCTGCGTTCCACATGCAGGAATCTGCTTGCTTCTGCATGAAGCTCCCACCTCGCTAGTCTGCGACGTCTCGAACTTTGCATCCTCTCGCACAGTGTGGTCGTTGGCTGACATGCGTTACCCGTCCTACCAGACCACTGGGGAACACGTGATGAAGGTCTGCGCATCCGTCTTGGGAAACCGCGGTATGCTCCAAGGGATGGTGTTTAACGGACAGTTGGAACACAGCCTTGGATGAGACATCTTCAGAGTCTGGGGGGGTGGACACTGCCATGCGCTCCTGTCTTGCATGCCTGGATCCCTCACCTCTTCAACGCATCGTACCAACACATCTTATGGTCCTACCTACAGTATCGTCTCCATTCAGTTCTTTAACTAGGACCCTCAAGGGAACCCCAGAAAGGAACTACAATGGAGACTGACTATGACTCACTATAGGTAGGTATCTTCTGTCTTGCAGGCAAGAGGCGTCACCTCTTCTCCAATTTTCAGAGGCGCCTGCTCCGGGGACTCCACGCTCGTCGTGCTCGCAGCCGAGTTCAACACAGGAAGCTTTAGCCCGCTGCGGCTCCACACCGCTGCTCCATGGAACTCCGCAAAGCCCACCGGCAGGATCGCTGCATACGTTCCTGTCCTTGGTTACACCGGGAAGCGACGGGTCGGAGCCACTATACATCCTACGAACATAAGCCATATTATATATATATATATATTTCTATTTATTCATATGTATTTATTTATTTTACGACTAGGGCAGGGCAACGGGCTAATCCGACAGCCTGACGAGTATCACAAGTGCTATACTGCGACGAAGGCTCAGCAATTTGCTTCTGTTCGCATCGCAGTCTGCGCCCTGTGGGCAGTAGCCCAGGCGCGTGTTCTCAGGCAGCCAGCCGGTGCTTGACACCGAGGTCTTCCACGTCATGGCCAGCGGCGCATGGTTGCCAAGAGCCGGATCGCCGAAAAGACCCTGGCCAACTCGTATCCACCAGCTCGGTGGGAGAGCAGCAACGACAGGAGCAGCCTCCGATCTTGCCAGCCCGCCACCGACTTGAACTGCGAAGTGGCGGGCCCTGCCGGATCCATGAGAGACTGCCTGCGCGCGAACCTCCATCCGAGACATCTGTCTCAAGGCCTTTCCTGTCAGAGCCAGGTCCCTGATACAGCAAAGCTTGGTGTAGATGCCTCGGAGTAGGAACCGATTTGGGCGCTGCAAAACGAAGTAGACCGCGGCCATGGCAATCCCAGGCCTCAAGCCCGTTCGCCCAATTCCGGTATCAACTTCCAGGTGGATCTGCACTGGACGCTCACATCGGTTGCTATCCCGGAGCCACCGGAACGACTGCACCGCGATGGCGACGCCTTGTTCCACCAAGCTACATAGATTGCTCGGTGGAGGTTGGTGCAAAAGCACCACCTGTGGCTGTCGTTTGGGCCTCGTTCTGACCAAAGCCAAGTTCTTGGTCAAATGAAGCGCTAGCTCCATGCTCTCCACAAACAAGGCAGCCACATATGGTGAGGAAGCCAGGGACAAGCCCGCCAGAAGGACGTCGTGATTAAAGGCGTCCGAGGCCAACATGGCACTGAGGCGTCGAGATTGAGTTGGCTTGGCATTGGGTAAGGACACTCGGACTGCGAGTCGCCGCGCCCTCTTCAGGACTTCTTCTACGTCTACCTCCACCCAACTATTGGGGCGGTGGTCTTGCGCTGCTACACAACTTCTTCGGAGCGCCGACGTAAAGGCATCCGCAACCTCGGGATGCGAAGCAGAACGCGGAGCAGGCCTGAGCTGCCTTGGCAGAGCGATGATGGGAATGTCGGTGGCTGCCCCGGCCGTCGCTACCTCAAGCTGAACTGTCCCGACGGCAGTGTAAGTGCTTTCCGGATCGTCAAGCGGCCCGGGGAGATAGCCATGCCAAACCAAAAACTCATAGACAGTCAGCGGATCATCTGCAGCCGGCCAATGATGAGGATTGTACAGGCGAGTAAGAATCCCGAAAACACGTCCTTGGCTCAGCAACTGGCCCATGCTCTGGAGAATTCTCATTTGCTTCCCGGGCGGCACATCCAGCATCATGATGGGGATTTCGCAATCATCCCCCAGGTGCTGCAGCGGAGCTGCATCGAAGCTGATCCGAGGACTCCATTCACGCGACATGGCCCATCGAATCCTTGGCTCTCCTTCCGTCGGCAATAGCAGAGCTTTAGCCTTGATGCCATCTGCACATGCAGAGTCCAAGGCCGTGAGAGCATCCATGAGGCAGACACGTTCAAGCGCTTCGGGAGTGGAGAACTCCACTGCCAAGAGGGATTCTGACTTCATGTGCTCCAGCCATGCTCGGCAGCTGAACGAGTCGCCGAAGGAAGCCATCCATCTTCGAGTTATGTCCTGCAAAGCCTTGGAATGTGGGCAGCCAATTGACAGACCTTGCTGTCGCTGTGAGTATGAACAGGTGCTTCGGCCAAGTATCTGAAACAGCTCGAGTGTTCCGGGTGCAAGGAATGCCTCGAGCAGAAGTGCTGCTGCTTCGTGTCTATGGTGGTGTTGTAGCCACTGAAGCCAACTTATGTACATCTCTTGCCCCTTCCGGAAGAATGTCTCCGCTTCAGACCGAGATCCAGCAAGGCGGGCAGAACTGGCCTGACTCAGTGCCTCTGCGCTGGCTACGTAAGCTGCTGCGCGCAGTGCCCCACAGCAGACATCGTCAGAGGGCGAATGCAACAGGAACAGTGCCGAAGATCCTGTCGGCACAAAACTGCACTCTTGCAGAGATAAACGAAGAGCATCCAGTAGCGTGATGCTGCTGCAATGCGATGCCTCGCATGTGACGGGAGCTGCGTTCGCATCGGAAAGCTCTTTCAATGCCACAACGAAAGCTCTCAGCTCAAGGCTAAACCCTGCTTCGAAGACAGCACTGGGCCAGTCCCTTCGAAGAATCGTGTCATGCAGCTGGGCCAAAGCTTCCAAGGACTCCACCCGACCCAAAGCTGGCTGGTCCCCATTGGAGCACAGTGGGCTGCAGGACACAGGGGGGCCCGATTCAGCCTTCGAGACTTGGGGCACCACGACATGCACCAGGAGGAAGCATGACGCTGGAATTATCCGCTGTGCCGTTGCCACCATACGTCGAGACCCGAGTGCTGCGGCATCAATAGCTTGTACCGATCCTCCTGGTGCTTTCCAGGAACACCTGGGTTTTTGATATTTTCTAATCGATGCTGAGCGGGCCCCGTTGAAGATACATCTCTCCTCTAACCAATGTCGCGCTCCGTGCCAAGCCCTACCCAGATTCGAACTGTCGATCTACACTTCTGCTTGGAACTTACAGTCATGTCAAGGAGCCAAGAGCTGTTCGACTTTAGCCCGAGCCCGGCCGGGTGTGAAAATCAGCAGTGACAGGCAGGGAGGTCTTGCGAGGTCTTGTGCAATCAGGGTGCAATGAAAGTACCTGAGCCCGAACTTCTGAAGGTCACTTTGGAGCCTTGGCAATCCCACAAGAACTTCACGGTGTGCAACTCGTCCTTTTGCAACTACCTTGCATGCAACTTGTCTTGAACCCTGTGCCCGAAACCCTAAACACCGGAAGCCTCTGCATCTGGAACATTCCCCAAAACCATGGAGGCGAGATTTTGACAGTTCACGAAGCGGCGACCAGACCCCCCCCCGTAGCCCTAAACCGCAGCGTGGTGATGAAGCTCCCGAGGCTGCAGCAAGCTTCCTCAAGTTTGCGAGCTCCAGCTCCACATCAGCCTGTCGATTTCAACACCCCTCTCAGTACACCCGGGGATTTGTAAATCATGTGAAGTTCATACTGTGCTGCCACTGTGCCTATACACGTTTATGTATACCTGTGTACACATACAGACATGTGTCTGCACGACCTCCTCTCTGCATGTATGTATGCATATATGTATAATCTACATAGGTCGGTCATTATTTATGTACTCATGCATGCGAAAACTCGACACGTTTTCAGAACTAAGAGAGAGCGTGTGTATGCATGTGTACAAATAGAGAGAGAGAGAGAGAGAGAGAGAGGGAGAGAGAGAGAGAGAGAGTGAGAGAGTGAGAGTGAGAGTGAGAGTGAGAGTGAGAGTGAGAGTGAGAGTCAGAGAGAGAGAGAGAGAGAGAGACAGAGAG